ACCCCTGGGAATGAACAAGCAGACTCTTTAGTAAAAGAAGCTGCATGTAACATAATTCTGATAGTTATATAAATTTTGTTGTAAACTGTTACTTGAACTGATTTACTTGAACAATGGTAGGAGTCATGGAACACACATGAACATTGTCTTACCTATCAATTTTATTCCTGACATTAAAACATTTCACTCCCAGAAATGGTTCAAACCAGGTTATTTTGATTGGCTTTCAGGATTGGTCAGTTTCTGACCAACTGTGGCAAATTTGGACATTATCTTTCCATGTTTGCAAAAGACATAACAGACTCTGTCTGGCATGCAAGATGGAGGATGGGAACATCCATTACATATACAACTGCATCATACTAAGATAATGACTAGAACTACAACTACTCCTGACAGAATCTGGGTGCTGTTGGTCATGCAAACCTTACAAACTTCTCAAGAATAAGGAAGTTTTTCATGATTTCAAGAAATACTGTAAAACAACAACAGTGACTGCCAACAATTAAACATCTCATTTGAACCTTTCTTCAGGTCCGACTGTACCAGAACTGATTTTCTTTTCAGAAATTTCAAGCAGCAAGATACTGCATTTTCTCTTTGTAAAATTTTGTTTTTGTTCTCTGGTTTTTATTTTTATTATATTTTATCTTTTTTTTCCACTCTTCACTTCATATTTTATTGTATTATTTTCTTTTTTATTGATTGTACACTTTGTATATTATTATAATATTTTGATGTTGATTTTAACTTAGTTATGTAATTCATGGTGCCAAGGACGTACAATGTATGTTAAATAAAGATTGATTGATTGATTGATTGCATGACATACATGCAATGTATCCCAAGATCGCTATGGAGGATCTTATCTACTATACAGATATATTTGAAATACACTGTCACTGATTTCCTGGATGTTAGTCATCTTCCTCAGCATTAAATTTTGTGTATTACCTGTACATTCAAATCTTCAATATGTAGTGTGTCTATCCTAAACCATTCTTAACATTTTCATTTTTTCTAAAAACACCTCCAAGCTTACAGCAAAATTTAATGTTAATACAGTCAAACTCAGTTATAAGAAGCATTAGGACACCAGCAAGATTTCCTTGTTATAACTATTACTCATTACATCTGTGAAAAGCAATGAAGTAACTAGGGAAGGATGGGCAACTGCTTCGGGTGCAAACACATAGAAGGTGCCCCCGTGGAAAACAGAATTTGTAGCAACGCCACTGATAATTAGCAAAATATCTTTTAATTTTTCATTTGAAATAAGTTGATTAAAAAAAATTTGTAAATTACATTATACTGTGTTTTTATTAATAGTTATATAAACTACAAAATAATATTGATCAATTTATTGTTTTGTAATTAAAAATAATACTACAATAATTAATAATTATGCCTGATTTTAGTTAATCTTTTTATGTACAAAGTTTAAAATTGACAATTGCTTCAATGATTTCACTTTCATATTCCTCAACTTCCCTCTTAAAGTACTGAATGTATTGAAAGTTTTTCATTTACTTCAAAAAACCTGACTAATGTATCCATTGCCTCTTGAACTACAGAAATTGTCAGCATTGGTTTTTGTCCTATTTCACTTATCGTATTATCATTGCATTCATCATCACCATCATCATCATTGTTACCATTGTCTTTATTCAGCACAGCTTCTACAATGTCACTCTCGGTAGAAATATCACTAGTTACCAAATTGTCATCGACTTGTAAAAATTCAACAATATCAGTATTAAAATTGTTAATGTTATTGCATTGCAATCATTCAGATAAAGGTTTGCCACTTTCTTCATTTTCATCATCATCAAACATTGAAATTTCATTCGTATTTAATTTCATGTTTTTAAAACAATTTGTTATGGTTGTCAAAGTAACATTGTTCCACACATCACTTAACAAATTTATGGCATCCAATATTGATAAATACTCATTAAACTTCTGTTCTCTTTGATAGATTAAATGCAAAATTATAAATCTTTCATAAAATCCTTTCAAACTTTTGATTACATCCATGTCCATCAGTTGTAAAATTGATGCGACATTGGGAGGCAGAAACACCAGCTTGATATTGGACAAATTTTCAAACTGGGTATGTGCTGGAAAGTTATCAATTAACAATAAAAATTTTTTTTTTTTGGATAGTTCCTTATTCCAATCACTTAGATACTGCCAAAAAATATCCAGGCTTTTTTGTTTGCAGTATAATCTAACAGTGAGATTCTTTACGTTTTTAAAACACTGTGGTGTTAACAATTTTCTAATAACTAACAGTTTCTTCTTAATGGTTCCTGTCACATTTGCACATAAAATCAGCATCAAATGATTCTTTGATATTTTTCCATCAACACATTTTTCCTCTTTGAACTTAACATATAGTCAGCAGCAGTGAGATTTAAAAAAGTCCCATTTCATCAGCATTGTAGCCATCTTCGTCATTAAAATCTTTTCTCATTTCAGCACAAACACAGTCAATCCATATTCATTTGCAATTACTGGATCAGCAGATTGAGATTCTCCAGTAATTTTTGAATCAATCCAGCCAACCATTACTGCATACAAAATCATTGCATCCAAATCAAATTTTCTAGCAAACTTTTCTGCTTGAGCCTTCAAGATTGGTCCATCTATCCAGCACTTCTTTGTGTACTAAACCAGTGATCTCCAAACTTTTGATTGCATACCCTAAGACGAAAATAATTATAAGTTGTACCCTATAATATATATGTGTGTGTGTGTGTTTGTGTGTGTAGTCAAAAATCAAATTATATATTTTAAACAATATACAGTCGACCCCCCTATAACGTGCGTTCCTATAACGACAATTCCTATAACATAGCGAAAAAATTGTAGCAACATTCGTATAAAGTACCTCCTATAACGTTGTTTCGCGACAAGATTGATAGAATCTGAACCAATAGTGGATGAGCAGCCGAACTACTTTCCTCCGACCCTGCGCCATGCTATGGAGCGGCTAAATTGAGTTTGCTATCGTCTGTACAGTATTAAGTTATATATAAATTAGGTACTATACATATAATTATATATAAATTATATATAAATTAGGTACTGTATATATAATCATATATTAACTTATTGTAACTTTATTATAATTAAATACATAATTTCCGCCGTCTAGCGTGGCGCCACGCTACAGAGATTTTAGGAAATAAGTTGAGTTTATTATCGTCTGTACAGTATGTAAATTAGGTACCGTAAGTCTAATACAGCACTAATTTTATACATTTCTTGTGAAAGAAACACTTCTTATTCAACGGCCATAAAAATTATTTATATTAATGATGTCTCCAAAGGTCAAGTTATTTTTCTGCGATAAATTATTTATCATATATCACAGCCGCTGTTTCGTGTGCTGTTCCGCGACGAAGACAAGCTTTGAACAACGGGCATAGTCAAATGGTGCACACTCGGTAAGTAATCCTATAATTTTTTGTTTATAGCATAGTTTATACAGATTATTCCCAAAAAATTATATGTGTTTTGGAAATGTTGAGTGGAATTAGTCTAGAATCGGTTAATTTTATAGAAGAAAACCTTTCAAACAGCCTTAGTCCGTAAAGTTCACACCTATCGGGCTGCGATTGGCTCATGTATTTGATCATTCCTACAACGTAAAATTCGATTAGTGTGGAACGTATCTAAGTGTTATAGGGGGTCTACTGTACATACATTTAAATTAAATTACAAATTTACATTTTGAATTAGAATTTAATGTGAGCAATGTGATTGTATTTATTTAGTAATATTTGAAAAATTTGGTTTGATGCCCTCTGTTAATGCAATTTGAAGATCTGGTTCTAACTCTAATTGTATCACTTTGCATACCCCCAGGGTACACGTACCCCTCTTTGGAGACCACTGTACTAAACCATTGAAATAAGTGCTTCACTGATGTTTGCGCACTCACACTTTCTAATTTTTTTTGATTCAGTTATATTACTCTCCAGTGCCAATAGGTAGACATCTTTATTTTTTCATAATGTTGAAGAAGACAAAGAATATTTTCTACACACTTCAACATTTTTAGTACCACTTTCTAACTCGCAAATACTTTTCATTTTTTCATACACTGAAAAACATTTTCTTTTATTCACAAACATCTTTCTCATACAAGAGTTCATTTCTAACTAGGGTATACAGTAATTTTACAATTATAGCAATGATTAAATAAATTAGCACAGTAGGGCTGGAAGCTAGTCAAGAATGAGGGGGATGGTCTACAAAAAGAAAGTTAAGTGATAGGCTCTAATCAACGCAGATCGTAAAACTAATTATCCAGTGGTCATAAAACTAAATAAACCTTTCGGTTTTATCTCTTCCAATAATTTGATACCACATTTCCTACTATTTGGAATAATTAAAAACATTCATGTATTTGCATAGTTACAGAAAATATGTTTGGTATCTTCATGAAATTTGTTCATTGTAACTGTGAACTTGTTACATTCATGTTTGTTATAACTGAGTTTGACTGTATTTCAGTTTTCAGCAACAGCCATCTTATGTACTAGTTTTAATAGGATAATATTCTCATATATCAAGAAATCTGCTTAAAACAGCTTGTCAAAACATGCTATTATATGTTAAGCTTTCATCTGTGACACACAAAACAATCAAATCATTGATGTTGAAAACTGTAACTGAAATTCCCATTTATTTCTGAGTCTATCTTATATATAAGACATTATAATTAATAAAATTATAAAAATGAACTTACTGTGGATTGCTCGAATACATTTCTTTTTATCTTGGACAATATAGCATGCAGTCATCAAAAAACAAAGACCTCCTAGTGCCAATATGAAAGCAGTAATATAAAGAGAATATTGTAAGTTATGGTATTTCATAAATGTTGTTGACTTCTGTCCAGAGTTTAAATGATCTGATATCTAGAAATTATTTTCAAAATATAATGATGAAACAAATAAGTTACATATTATTATACTATATTTATTTATCTAATTAATAAAAAGTAAGTCTTGTATCTAAATAAATGAATAAATTTATAACTTAAATTAACAAATAAGATTTGTTTAGTAATATTTAAAAAGAAATTAAATTCTCCTTAGATGATAAAATTTAATTTTACAAAAATCTTGTGTCATAAATCAATAAATTTAATTCTACAAACATATTACATTTATTTAAGTTTTAATAGTATTTGAACTTGATTTCTAACATTTTTATAAACTATCATCAGTCAGTTTACTTTAAGCATGTAACTCATTAATTTATCATCAAGCTTTGATTATGTTTTAATATGGAATTCATATTATAAAGAATAATTCAATCATTCTTATATAATACAGCTAGATCCTCATGCCAAGTATTAAATAGCAGAAAGGAAAATTCAGGTACAAATATGAGGTACATTGAGGCAACAACAAAAATGCTAGCTATCTGCCCAGCTGAGCACCAGGAGGATGTGATGAAAGAAAAGCACACCACAGAGGTGGCAAAAAAGATGCTCGAGCAGAGCCTGTTATGGGTCCAAACAATGATTCTTAGATGCTGTAGCAACCGAAAACTAGTCTTTATATGGGATTCTCTCCTCACAACTACCTCAGAACCGTGCAACACTCCCACTCTTGACCTGCCCAACATATGGGTCATCCTATACAAACAGTTAAACAGCAATTTACATCGACTGTCACACTGTTAACATGGACCTGCATCCATGTATGCACAACATCACATGTATAACATCGCACGCATACCATCGAATGTATTCGAAATTTGTAGCTTGTTTGTAACAGTTTTAATTCAAAAATTTTTAGTTTAAATAATATGCATTCAATTCTTCTTAGAACATTTGTGTTTGATTTTAAAATTTTTATTCACCTGACGACAAAAATAGATTCGTTGAAAGTGCTAGCAATAAAAACCTATTAATAACACTGTACAGAGTAAATTTTCCTTCCTGCTAATCATTTATAAACTTGCACTTTTATATTTATTGAATAATGGTGAATTATATAAGTTGTAGTTATCAAAAACCAGTGGACTCATTCTTTCTCATTCAATATGCTAATGGGATTCATGTTATGTTACAATAAATATCTGCCAGCATACAAAACCATTCATTTTGGTTTATTTTGGTATTTTTTAATTCAATACTGTAAATACAAATTTTTCATGTTTAAATGGATTTTACCACATTTCTCACTTGAATTTTGTTTTTGCTTATGAATAATATTTAATAGGGTGATCCTTATTTTTATGTATTGGAAAGTTGGATGGGGGACATTTTGAACAACATTTAGAGCAATAAAATTGCAATATGCATTTGCTACCACTAACAAAGAATGAAAAAGCAGGGCAATTAAGTTGGTAAAAGGACAACTTTGAGAAGAGCAATATTTCAGTATCATGTTTTCTTTAAAATGTTAAAAGTGCCACTGATGTTATGTTCTTATAAATTGCTTTAAATTTCAACTTATTTCTCAATTTTTAATGTTATTTTCCCCCATAGTTCCAAATGAGGAGCTGAGATGTAAAATGTAACATAGTATATCATGAAGAAAAAAATTAGCGTATTGCTTAGATTTTACTTAAATCTATTCTCTTGACATGCTACTATTTGCACCGTGTCATCATATTTTGTAAGCAAATAGAAGATTGTTGCTTTTTAGTAAATTATAATTTAATTAGCAAATAAGTCTGGCATTGCTTGTGCAAAAAATAACAACAGCAAAGATTAATTAAGACTAATAGATTATTTTGTACTTCTAACCCCTCTACTATATTATATTATATTATTTGATTTATATTTACAAAGATTATCTAACGTAAAAGTTTATCACACCGAGTTCCCAATCCACATTATTTAATTAAATTGTGTACAGTAGAGGAGTAAAGAATTTTTAACACGTGTTAGATCGATCACTCGGTGTGATAAACCCTTTTCGTCCGATATAAATCAAATACTTTAATGTAACAAACATTAAAACGTAAATGTGAGATTGAAGGGTTGAAGCAGCCTAAACTTCGAGAGTGAGAACGGGGCTCTCTTTGTACAGGATGGTTTAAGTTTAAGGTTAAGACTAAGGCTGCGTTTACTTCTCGGCTAATAGAGAGGTTGCTGCCGACGTTTTCATCGCGAAAACGTGTACGTCGGACGTTCAGCGCCGCTTTCATGTACGCCTAGAAGTTTGACAATGGTGTTNAATAACAAATACAATTTTACATTTTAAATTCAAGGTCTTGAATTTATTGACAGAGAAAAAAGTAGTCAAAAATGTTCATTTGTAATAAAAATAAATTTTCATTGTATTAAATGGTATAATTTATTTAAAGAATCAAAGTTTATTACAATTATATGTATTTTTTTATAATCAGATTAGTTTGAATATTTTATCCAAAGCAATTTATATTGTATATAATATAATATAGAACACTACACTTACCAACAGCATGTCAGCTACAATTGGCCAATTCATACATAATAATGTTTCACCAGAGAAAATTAAAATCTATAAAAGTAAAAACAGACATAAATATTCGGTTGAAATACTAATATGAAAAAATGTAGAAACTCATATAGAGTCTAATTTGATGATAATTACACATTTCAAATTACAAATCATTTTTAAATGATAAACTAATACAAATATACAATTCTTACTTAATTGTATTGTACAAAAAATATACGAAAAATAAATTTTTCTTTCTGTTCTGACTTACAAAGGGTAAGTAATCCCAAATTTCTAAAACATCAATTTTTATTTCATTATTGATATAAAATTAAAAAAACGTAAAAGCAAACCCAATTGCAGAGAAACACTTTATAACACTTTCAGACTCCCTAAATACATTTTGCCAAAAAATTTAGGCCTCCTCAGTAGGGTTTTCAGCATACAGTTCAAACTCCAGAAATATTCCATCACAGGTTTCTATTATGAATTTCCATCTATATATCCGACAAAAGTTTCCCAGCATGCAGCTGTCAACATGCCCAAATTAAATTAACTGTATTATTTTGTATAATTATTATGACAAAATGTTCTTTAACTTTTCTTTTCACATTATTATTTTTTTCCTTATAAACAATTTTTACAATTTGCTGGGAAACTTTTGTCGGATATATAGATGGAAATTCATAATGAAAACCCGCGAGGTAATATTGTTGGAGTTTGAACTGTATGCTGAAAACCCTATTGAAGGAGGCCTAAATTTTTGGTGAAATGCATTTAGGGAGTCTGAAAGTGTAATAAAGTGTTTCTCTGCAATTGGGTTTGCTTTTACCTTTTTTTTTAACTTTAATTTTTATTTCATTATTGATATAATGTTTTAGAAATTTGGAGTTACCTACCCTCCATAAGTCAGAAAATAAAGAAAAAAAAAAATTGATTTTTCATGTATTTTTCTACAATACAATTATGTAAGAACTTTGCTGCGTTATCAATACTTCTCAATAAAAAAATCCCTTAGATGACAGATACAGGGTTTAAGCCTATGGACAGGTACTGTACATCGCTTTAAAGTCAAGCACTGCCATGTAACTTTTACCTATTGCTTCTGCTTTACCTATTTGGTCTTCTGCCCCACCATCAACCCTAAATAAACTTTATTCAGAATTGGCTCAAATTTATAATTAACTGTACAAACTTTCTAACCTCCCATTTACGAACTCCCCAGAAGTTGTTTGAGTTTGCCAAGGTTCACCTAATTTCTATAAATGTATTAAATATTTTGATTGGATTTATACTTATAAATATTTTAATGGCTTACTTCCACTCCAATATGTTTATTTTCATATCCTCTCCCTCAATACTAGAAATACTACATGTTTACATATACTGTATTGTCATCTAAATGTTTTACCATTAAATCATTTTTTATTGCTACCAGATGGCTGCTGTAAAAATCAAAAGATAAACGTTTTTTGAATTCACTAAATTTAAGGCTGTTTGTAAAAAATTAGTTTAATATATTTAATTATTTTATTTCTTCATATGTTTTATTCCCTTTATGTTTGTTATTTTTATTTGTTTATTTTAACAGATTTGTTATTTCTTTGTTGTATGGGGGTTGGCAAACATTGTCTAAACAACATCACCAGTAGTATGTAAAAATAAAAAAATAATTAATAATAATAATAATAAATATAATATATAATAAAATAATTAGAAGGGTCATGTAAGCATTGAGTTCACAAATGTATCTTTCTTGTTTATAGGTTGCATAAATTTATGTATACTATTTTGGAACAATATTTAATGGTAAAGATGTTCCAAGAAAGATGTAGTCTGAGGGGCCTATTAGATTAGGTTGAAAACGTTTGCCAAATAAAAACAAATCCCAGCAGCCAAAAAAAAAAAGTTTAGAGAATTTTGAATTGTTCTGCTGGGGTTGATTTAGATTATTTGGCTTTGTTTTACACTAGTAGTGTAGATAACAAGATAACTCAATAACAGACCTAAAAAACCACAATCATTACTATGTAAAAACTTTGTAATTTCTGGAATTTCCAAAGTCTATTTTGGTTAATAAAATTTGGGTAATTGATTTTTCTGTGTATTAATTTTTTTCTAATTTATTTTATTTTAAATACAGTATAACAGTTAAGCAGTAAATTTTAAACTTTGGATTTGTTTTTAGTTACTTTATGCTATATAACAAATTTGAAAATTTACTATTACTACAATTTAATTAATTTATAATTCCTTACTTACCCAAGAAAGCATCATATATTTGTGAGCCATAACAATTCCGAGAAATACAAGAGGAACACTACTTAATAGTCCAAAAGCACAAACTAGTGGATCAGCACGAGGATTACGTCGTCTATACCACTGCGCAGATAAAGAACCCAATGTAACGCCTACTATTCCAGCAATACAAGTTATGACACCAAAAATTAAGCTGACCCTAAATATAAATTTTTTCAATTTCCATTATAGAAATACACAAATATTTATTTCATCTGTTTAATAATTTTTTTACAATTAAAATAAATTTTTCATACTGAACCTACAATAGTTTTTCAAGCATTCAACAACAACCCTTATGATTTATCCCTGCAGTTAGATGAAGAAGTGATACATCAGTAAATTTCTTGGCCCTTACAATTTCATCCAACTTTGGAGAAATAGTTAACAAGCTAAACAGGAAGCCCACTTTTCAATGCACATTAATCCCCTACAACTCTGTGGACCAATGGCACATTAAACATTCAGATCATTGATAAGAAGAGCATATACCATTGTACCAACATCCTTGACATGACAGCAGCATGATATGGGTATTCAATTCAATTTATAAAATGAGTAATTGTAACATTCCAAATCAAAATGCAAGAACTAATTTGATATCAGTATATCAGAAAAAGGATTGTCTTAAATTATTTCCCGACTTTAGGAGGTATACATAAAGAAGCACCAAACTAACAATCTTACACAGGTATAGCAATGTAACCCGACCATTTTCAAAATTTTAAGAAACGATAAGATTCCATATGATCACAACTCTGCACCAAGCATCTACTAAATCCCAATAAATGACCAATTTTTTATGACAAAACTTGTATACATAGGTGCCACTGGACATAATCTACAACAAAGAATCAGGGAGCACAAATGTACAATCAACAAGAATCTCTAACACTGCATTAGCAGCCTATTCAAATCAACAGGACATACAGATAAATTGAGAAGAAGTGAGAATTATCAAGCCTATCTCTAAGATACATACTCTTTCTCACCTAGAGAAGTTAGAAATTTATAAAGTTTGTAGAAAATCCATATGTGTTAATCATTGCAATTCCAATACCCTTTCCAATGCTTGGGGGTCACCTATTGAGATTTAAATTTTGTTTCCTCTATTAATTGTTTATTTTTATTATAAGTATATTGCTTTTATTTATATATTTATCGTTTTTTATATTATTTGCATTTTATGTTCACATGTTCATTCAAACATTTACATGCTATTTGTTGAATTGTATTCATTTCTTTTAAATCAAAATTTCTGTTTTATTCACATATTTATTATTTTTATGTTATTTCTTGTTCCTATTTTAATGCAAATATTAAGTTCTATTTTTAAATGGTATTCTTTAATTCAATGTTGCTGTTAACTGAAGATCAGTCAAACTGATCGAAAATGTTTTTAATTTTAATAAATACATGTTTTTTGGAAACAAGCTGAAAAAAATAATTAGACATTGAATTAATCAAAGATTACAGCCATTCTTGTAGAATATTTTCCATGCTTCAATGAGAGCAGCCTTTAGTTCAGTGAACAGTCATGTAATGCTTTCCACTGCTATACAATTGGAAAACCAATCACCCCAAAGATTTTCAATTGGGTTTAAATCTGCACTGGGAGGAGGCCAGTCCAAAAATCGAATGTTCTTGCTCTGAAAAAAAAATAACATTGTTTTTGATACATGGAAGCTTGCATTATCCAGCATGAATTCAAAATCCTGTCCAGCAATTTTCTGTTCATAAGTTTGGAGCTGTCTCCAGACATGCACCTGATAAGTTTGAGAGTTGTTTTGACTTTCAATAAATACTAGAAGTGTCTTTCCATTCCATCTAATTCTTACCCAAGTCATGACTTACCACCACCAACTACTTTCTTTGAGTGCTGCTTTTGATCTAGTCTTTTGTCTGCCCAATAATACTTAAAACCATCATGTCCATCGATTCCACTTTTTCTCATCCAAGAAAATTACTTTTGACCATTTTTCCCCTCCTTCAAAGTTGTTTCTGGTAAACTGTAATTGAAGTTGTTTGTGTTTCTCCTTTATTAGTTGCCTGTCTTCATTTTGATGAAATAAACATTGTCTGTTGATCTCAAAACATTGTATACTGTTGATTTACTGCAGCTCAGCTTCAATTAATTTTTGACTTTTTGAATGGATGTGTTTTCCTTGCAGTCTCATTGTTCTAGGTGTTGTTGAACTCTTGCGTCGACTGTTTAGTTTTTCTGTTTGTTGCTCCTTCCTTGTTATTGAGATACTTTAAGATTGTTGAATGAGGTCTTCCCAGATTTTTTAGCAATCTAAGTTACTTTTCATCCTTCCTAATGAAATACATCAATTTTGATCTTCTCCTCTACAGTTAGGTCCTTCCCACATCCCATTTTTAATAGTAAGGTTACTATGCAATTTACTACTTTTTTCCCACTTATTGATCATATTTTTATGCAAATTTCATGGATTCCAATCATTACTTTCTTTGTAATTAATTCCAATCAGTATATGTTCTATTAATGTTGGGCATCTATTTTTAATGATAACATCAAACTTTTGTCTATTAATCATTTTTTCTCCAAACTTATGGAATAATAGTTGATATTTTGCTATTTAATGTATTAGAAAATTTCATCAAAGTTACATGAAAATAATAAGTTTCTAGGCCATCACTGTATGTTCTATTATTGTTGGAAGGACTGTGTATCTAGTGTATAATTTGAAGTTAGGTATGTCTTGGCAAAGATTGATCTTTCAAGAACTCTCAACACCATTTCACAGTGTTCTTGAAAGAAAGCTGTCCATGGGTACAACCCTCTTTTGGATGTATGTAGTGCCATCAAATGAAAAGAAGGAAGAATAAGTGACTAGGTGTGCTTATTAATTGAAATTTGCAGATTTTACAAGTTCTGCAGAATTAATAAGTTCAATCACTCTGCTACAATGCTTCTGCATTGTAGCAGAGTAGATTAGAGACTGGCCAAACTCAGAGACAAGTGTTCCAGAAACCGAATGCATTATCTATAGGCTTTGGCAATGATTCCAATGTGACCAAGATGTTCGAAGGCAATACAATGAAGGTTGTCCATGTGTCACAACACAACATGTCATAACTAATTTAGGGACATAAATTGCTGTGCAGGTGGGGTGGCATTGGGCCACCACACCAGCTCAGCAAGCAAACTGCTTACAGACCTCTCAGCAGGATGAGGTTTACTTTCAGAGATCTTTGTCAGGTTATTATATGTTTCATAAATCAAATGTGATTACTTAAACAACTTTTTAAAAAAGAAATAATCTATATGTAATCCAGTAATATTCAGATTCAAAAAATAAAACGTAATGTACATAATGATGAAATATGACATAATAAAAATTTTTAAACCATGTATAGTACACAGCTTTCCTTAAGATGACTAGAGATAGAGTAGAAAAAATTTTAAATGCTGTAACACACATTAATAACTAATGATTGAGATGACAAAATTTACAACATTATGTTAAAGTTCACTACAGTTGGAGGTAACAAATCATTGCTTGACACACTTGCAACATGTTAATTAATATTTTTTTTACTATTAATGTAGCTTCCCTTGAGTATTACTTTATAAATTTTAATAGCTTCTATTATTCTTAGCTGTTGTATATCAAAGGCAATATGTAGAAGCTTAGCCTCATCCCAACATGGTGACACTCCAGGCTCAGTTGCAAATTGGACCATAGCATTATTTTCCAGCTTTTGCAGAATTCTTTAGGAGATCCTTTTAGATACAATACTACTATGTGACTTAATCAAGCTATTACTTTTTATTTATTTCGTTGCTTCTTTAACCTTTCTTTATTCTTCTAAAATTGACTAATTCTGAGCTTTGTTCTTCTAACTCTATTTATATTAGTTGGTTTCAGACAGCACTTCCAAAAAGATCACGTGATTGGTGTGTCTGGAAGGAGAGTGGAGATAAGTGGAAGAGTGAATACTGTTGTGCAATATGGAGTTGAAGCATGGAAACAATAGCAACTGTTCTGAAGATTGAGTTTTCTTAGACCTGTTCTATATAAGGGTAGGTCTCTGACAAGGCTTCTAGAAAATATGGTTCACAACATCATGTCAGACCACTTGAGTTTTTTAAAATATTAATCATCCCTGATGTAGAATTATATATAAAAAAATAAACATTGTCTCTGAAAACTAACATGTCTGTTTCAAATTGAAAAATGTTAATTTTACAATTAAGTTAAATAAATGGGATGATTTTTAGAAATAATATTTTAATAAAGCTGATAGTGTTTACTATTTATTTATGCCTGATTTCAATACTAATAACGCTATTATTTAACAGATATTTATGGTTGTTTGAATATTATAGAAAGAAGAGAGAAATTGGCAATAAAACAAATAAAAACAATAAAATTTTTTTATTATTTCACAATATGATCTGCTGAATAAAAGTTTCAAAAAATTCAAAGCTTATAGTTTTGCTTTTTATGGACTTATCATACAGATACTTATCCTATATGATAAGTCCATAAAAAATGATACTATAAGCCTTGAATTTTTTGAAACTAAAATTAAAATGGAACAAGAAGCTAGAATGAAAATATTGAATAAAACTTCATCCTCTATATTTGGTGTAATATTTGAATAATTCAATATGTATGCATAAAATTTTAATTTTTTCACTACAGATTTTTATAGTTCTAATGATTTTTCAAAAATAATTCATAAAATACAGAAATTAACTTACAAAAACTTACATTTCTTCAGTTTTATTTTCACCTTCAATGCTTGATGCATATGTCATGTAAATAGGTGCCCACCAGGCTAAAGCACCAGTAGCGAATGTCACACAAGTGAATCCTGCAGTAGACCACATCAATGTCCGGCTAATAATTAAGATTCAAAATAAATTCAATACGACTAAATGGGAACATTTGGAAAATAATGTTAGTTGAATATTTATACTATTCTTCACAATATTACATTCAATAACATAAAATAAAAAATATTGACACAAAAAACAAGCAATAAGTTTCATAACTTTCCCAGCTGTTATTTTTATAATAAAATCTCATCTTTTTATATTATTTATTATAAAATGACTCATAATTAAGCTTTCTAAGTTTTATAAAAAATTGTAAATGCTAATAACTAATAAAATCTTCACTAAGTCTGACCCCTCTCAATATATGACACAAACCTCCCCCTCTATCTCCCATTCCACTCAACCTTTAACCACCAAAATTTAATAGCATCAACATCCCTTAACATGCCAAATTTCATTCAATTTTTATCACATCCTGAGATATTAAACAAAATAGACATCAAAACATACAAACACATAAGCAATTTTTTCTCCATTTTATTATTATTTTTGGGGGTTCTGGAGATTTGCAAAACAAAGGGTCAAATTTAACACAATTCCAATACTCTCCCTTGATATGTACACATAAAAGCCAGGATAGTAACAAATTTTCAAGTCTAAAGATATTTTTATTTACAAACCACATGATTTTTGAGATATTAACTGTCAAAAAATGGTTTTATTGCAGATTTCTTGAGAATTTGTTTTTTAATTTCAGTGATTTTCAGTGAATATTTATAATTCAGAAATAATAATAATAACAACTCTCCCATGGTCACCACTTGGTCGTGGTGGGAGAGCCCAGTAATTTTATTGATCCATAGAGTAACGTAGACTGTAGCACAAGTTTCTGGTAGGACACCCATGCCAGTAACATCTATGGGGAGAAACAAAGCTAAGAGTGACCACACCCACATTCTGTGGAGATAATTACCATGATAGTAACCAGGTCTAAGTGTGATATAGGCTTGGGTGTTGCCTGGGTTAACAAGGTTCTATGAATAAAACACATCTTTAATATAGTATATATACGTATTACCTAACTTAGTATATATAGGCACAACTTTGAGGAATTTGAAAAAAAGAATCAACGAGCATAAGCTTTCAGTGAACAAAACAGTTTACAGTATGGTCCTTACCACTTATGCTAAACAACAAGGCATTACTGTCTTCTGGGACCAGGCCTCTATAATAAAAGCTACCAGATCTAGACACACAGTAAAATATCTCAAAAAGATGGAAATCCACAAAACACAGAAGAGCACGCAGTGTATCAACTATAGGGATGCTGACGGGCTTTCGTCCGCTTGGAAATCATTTTGCGACGAATTGGCATAGATCTATATAAAAGGCTTAATCAGGCTTAGGATGATCCTTCATAGATATTTTATTTATTTATTTATTTATTTATTTTATTATTATTTATTAAACACACGGAAATTTGTTTGATCACTGGTTACATTATTCTACCTCTTTCCAAACTAATTTTATATAAATAGTTTGAGAGGATACTAAAATTTATCCAAATGTAAAAAAGCAAAAGTCATAATACGAGAATAATAGAGACCAGCAGACATTACTAGGATGCATATGCTGTAAGTGTTCAATACAATTGTTAGTTTTCTTGCTTTGACAATTTGAATTTGCGATGGCTACACTAANATAAACACAATGACGTAGCGAACGTAACTGCACCCGGGCCGCGACACTATATTGGCGCCCCTCCCCCTCCGGAAACAAATTTTGTTATTCTTGGAAACCATTAGGCTCCCCTCTGCCAGTGGCGCCCGGGGCAAGCTGCTCCACCCTCTGCTGAGAGGTTTTCTTCGTTTTTGGGCGATAGGAAATTCGGAAGTTCCTCGAGGACAGGCAGTCTCAAAGGATTAACCCATGGTGTATAGCAGCCTTTAGATCGATCACTCGGTGTGATAAACCTTTTTCGTCGGATATAAATCAAATACTTTAATATAACAAACATTAAAACGTGAATGTGAGATTCGAGGGTTGAAGCAGCCTAAACTTCAAGAGTGAGAACGGGGCTCTCTTTGTACAGGATGGTTTAAGTTTAAGGTTAAGACGTTTACTTTTCAGCTAATAGCGCTGCTTCCCAACACCGGAGTGACGTCATTAGCATACGTATTCGCGTTTATGTCTAGTTCAGTGTCCAGTTCGAAAGTAAACGCCAACGCTAACAAGAAATATGGCGGTTTCCGCAAATAATATTGTCAAAGCCGCTATTTTAAATGTTACGTTACAGATACAACTACTCGATTCCGAATCGGACGACGATGATCGTATTGTGGAAAAATTGAAAGAAGAAAAAAGAAAAGCAAGATGAAATAAAAAAGATAGAATGTACCTTTTTATAATCCAAGCGATTTTAAACATCACCTTAGACTTACAAGAGAATCTTTTGAAAGTCTCCTTTTAGAGACAGAAAAAATGACTTCCTCTGGAAGACGACCCGTGTCTCCTCCAAAGTAGCTTTTACGCTGTCTATGGACATTAGCAAATCAAGAATCGTTCGGGTTTGTTTATACCAAGTAATATATGAAATGAGATGCAGTATATAAAAGAATAGCAGATTACTCGTATATATAATACATATTTAATGCAATTGTTTTACCCGGTGAATAGATGTGACGTTGCTCTTTTATGGTGTAACTAAACCGAGTTTAAAATCAACGTATAATTGATATTAAATACAAAACTTTTCTTTCTTTCTTTTCTCTAAGGGTATTGGCCATCGTTTTAACACGTCTAGACCAACTGCGTGGAATATTTTAAATAAGGTTGTTAATTCTCTCTTAGCGTTAAATGAAAATGAAAAAAAATAATCTCTCGGCCATCGCGGCAGGATGCTGTAAGAGTAATGGAATTTTTTATACCCAATACGGTTTCCTGGAATTAGAGGCTCTATTGGTGGAAAGCGTGTGGCCGAAAAAGCAGCGGCTTATTTCGATAGAAATAAGTATTACTCTGTCATGGTATAAGTTTAGTTTGTAATGAGAAAATGGTATTCAAACGATACAATTTCTCGAGAAGTCATTTCCCACGTGTAAGTAAAAATTCATTCGAGTATACAAACTTATGTAATTTATTATTATTATTAATGCTGTTCTTTTCTTTACGATTTATTTAATGTTTTGAACACAACACTCGAAGATTCCAAACGCACGTAATGTAAACTTCATTTTTAATCGTAAACAACGAATCCAACTTAATTTTCTTCGCATTGTGTTTATGAAAAAAGCCATCTAAAGTTATTGAACCTTACAATAAAAAAAGATCATTGTAAACATTTTATACAACAAATAATCGAAATTTACCAATAAAAATATTTTCTGACGTTTATTTTTCCAAAAATAATTCCATTTTCATTACTTTGTATCGAAAGTAATTTTTTCACGGGAGAAGCCATATTGAATTAGCGCAAAGCCCAACAGCGCTCCCAGCTTACTAATTCCGTTAAAAATGACGTCACACGACTCTAAAGTAAATGCCAACCAGCGCGGCGCTCGGACAAAAGTATTCGGGTCGAGCGTGCCGACAGTAAAATTAGCCCAGAAGTAAACGGTGTAATCTCTGTCTACGTCAGAAGCCCGACACCAGTTAGAATAATTATTTCGTATCGCGTTCTAACTGGCTATAAAGGAATGTCTTATTTCCTACGTGATTCGAGTGGTAAGGAGGGGATGTCGATTCGGAGACGAAAGTAGGCACGGTCCAAATTATATATATAAAAACTATATTTATTTGAAGGAAGAAAAATAATGACAAAGAGTACAATAAAACGTTCTTGATTAAATAACATCTATTTTTAAGGTTATATAAGTTTCGACTAACCTNTTGTTTTACCCAGTGAATAGATGTGACGTTGCTCTTTTACGGTGTAACTAAACCGAGTTTAAAATCAACGTATAATTGATATTAAATACAAAACTTTTCTTTCTTTTATCTAAGGGTATTGGCCATCGTTTTAATATGCGTGGAATATTTTAAATAAGGTTGTTAATTCTCTCTTAGCGTTAAATGAAAATGAAAAAAAAAATAATCTCTCGGCCATCGCAGCGGGATGTTGTAAGAATAATGGAATTTTTTATACCCAATACGGTTTTCCTGGAATTACAGGCTCTATTGGTGGAAAGCGTGTGGCTATTAAGACTGGAACCGAAAAAGCAGCGGCTTATTTCGATAGAAATAAGTATTACTCTGTCATCGTATAAGTTTAGTTTGTAACGAGAAAATGGTATTGAAACGATACAATTTCTCGAGAAGTCATTTCCCACGTGTAAGTAAAAATTCATTCGAGTATACAAACTTATGTAATTTATTATTACTATTGTTATTATTATTAATGCTGTTCTTTTCTTTACGATTTATTTAATGTTCCGAACATAACACTCGAAGATTCCAAACGCGCGTAATGTAAATTTCACTTTTAATCATAAACAACGAATCCAACTTAATTTTCTTCGCATTGTGTTTATGAAAAAAGCCATCTAAACTTATTGAACCTGACAATAAAAAAAGATCATGGTAAATATTTTATACAACAAATAATCGAAATTTACCAATAAAAATATTTTCTGACGTTTATTTTTCCAAAAATAATTCCATTTTCATTACTTTGTACCGAAAGTAATTTTTTCACGGGAGCGGCCATATTGAATTAGCGCAAAGCCCAACGACGCTCCCCAAGGACTTTAAAGTATATAGTCCTTGGGCGCTCCCAGCTTACTAATTCCGTTAAAAATGACGTCGCACGACTCTAAAGTAAATGCCGACCAGCGCGGCGCTCGGACAAAAGTATTCGGGTCGAGCGTGCCTAGAAGTAAACGCACCCTAAGAGACGGTATAATCTCTGTCTACGTCAGAAGCCCGACACCAATTACAATAATTATTTCGTATCGCGTTGTAACTGGCTTTAGAGGAATGTCTTATTTCCTACGTAATTCGAGTGGTAAAGAGGGGATGTTGATTCGGAGACGAAATTATATATATAAAAACTATATTTATTTGAACGAAGAAAAATAATGACAAAGAGTACCATAAAACGT